AAGATAAAAATAGTACTCTTAGCCTTGAAAAACAAGAAGTTGATGTAATTCGTGGCATTGCTAGAACTTAAAACTAGCTGTTGAAAAGCTAGGTAGAAGAAAATCTACTCTACTTTCAGCAGAGGATTTTACCTCTTTCGTTTTGAATGAACTGAAACAATTGAACACTGCTTTTTCTAAAAAAGTACATGAATATTTTGTTATCTGCATAAAAGAGAGAAGAAACAAAAAATTGATGGACTGTTACTTTACCTCACTGGTGAAAACAAATATAAGAAGTTCGAGAGTGACAGCGCATTCAACAATCTGAGGCAATTATAATTTCATCAGCAAAACAAATATATGATCGCCTTTTTGGAGAACCTACTGTTTCTGATTCTAGTGAAGATAATGAACTCAAATATGTAAAAGAATCACACTGTCACACTACCGAATGAAATAACTGTAGCTGAAAAGCTAAATTCATATCATGAAGCATCTGCAAGATCAAGAATACGACAAGAGCAGAGAGCAATAAACAAAGAATTAAGTGCTGGAGAGCAGTTAGAAACTGAGTTAGCAATCTTCAAAAAACAGGCATAAAATCTCAGAAAATTTCTCTTCTTTTGAGAGCTTTGAAAACCATTCCACCCTCCTCAATAGAGTCTGAAAGGGCATTTTCAGCTACAGGTCTTTTTGTGACCAAATTGAGAACTAGATTAAGTGATCAAAGTATCGATCATTTTTGTTTTTTGAAGTCTTATTATGAAAATTTATAAGTTTTTTTTGAGAGAAAGAGAGATTTTTGTTTTCATAAATTTTTTGAGTAGTATTTTTATNACATATTAAATTACTTTAAAAAATAAAAATAATTATATCATATGATTTCAAGATATTTTGTATATCTTAAAAATAATTAATTTTATCCCAGGATCCCGGGACAAGCGAAAGATCAAGAAATGAGAAACCCTAATTACAACTGAATAGAAATACATACATCATGCTACAGAAGGCCACTATACTGAATACATGTCATATTGTTAGGAAATTCCTGAATACAGACACAGACAGACACATACTGACACACTTGTTTACTTTTTGTCTTGTTTTGGTTACTGTGCCTTGACTCTGGTCCAGCATAGTACACAGCCACTAGTGTCAACCGAGTATTACTTACTAAACCCAACATAATAATAAGTGTATATTATTATTATTATTGTTGTGTTTAGTGGGTTATACTTGGTTCACACCAGTGGCTGTGTACTATGCTGGACCAGAGTCAAGGCATAGTAACCAAAACAAGACAAAAATTAAACAAGTGTGTCAGTGTCTGTATTTAGGAATTTCCTAACAATATGGCGTGTATTCAATATAGTGGCCTTCTGTAGTGTGATGTATGTATTTCTATACAATTGTAATGTTCCCAGACTTTTGTGTAGTGTGTGTGGTATCACACCTGTACAGGAGAGTTCTGTGTTGTTTGTGTGCTTGCTGTAGAATGACTGAATCTATGAGTAACTGTTCTTTGCATCCACTGTGATTTCTATGGCAATAAGCATCCTATCCATCCTCCACAGATGCCTTATTTCCTGGGCGAGTTCTGTGTAGTTGCTAATTTTTTCAGTGCATGTGTTTTATACATTGTGAGTGTTTGGAATGGATATGTCTATAATGTATGTGATTTTATTGTGTTTGTCAATGAGTGTGATGTCTGGTCTGTTGTGGTAAATTGTTTTATCTGTGATTATGGCTCTGTCGTAGTACATTTTGTGTGTGTAGTTTTCCAATACACTGTCTGTGGAATATACTTGTAGTATGGTTCGTGAATGTCTACCAAGTTGTGTTTCTTTGCAAGCTCTTGGTGTATTATATTTGCTACTTGATTATGTTTGTGTAAATAATCTGTCTGTGCCAAGAGCTTGCACCCAGAAGTGATGTGTTGTATAGTTTCTGGCATGATGTGACATTTNTTTTTGTTGTTCTGTAAGAATGTCATGTTCTTCAACATGTTTGTATATTTTGTTTGCAATGCAAGATGTCAATAATTTGTAGAGTGTTGGAAGTCATGTAATTGGTCTGTATTCTGTGGGGTCTGTGGTGGTGGTGTTTTTAGGTTTCATGTAGGTGATGCGCTGAGTAAGAAATTTCAGCATGTCTTATGGATCGATGATGATGTGAGTTAGATGTTTAGCTAGTTCCTGATGCAGTGATGTAAAGTTTTTGTACCAGAAATTGTGAATGTTATCTACACCAGATGTCTTCCAGTTGTGTGTTCTGTCCTGAAATAAACGTACACGACATCTGCTACACTGTGAACAGAACATTCACAGCGTTGCGGATGTCGTGTATGTTTATTTCAGCACAGGGCATAGTTGGTATGTTATGCAAGTTTCTGTTCTCCTCCTCGATCCAGCCTGCATCAGCATTGTGTGTAACAGCATTGGACCAAAGAGAAGACAAATAACTTGTGAGTTCTTCTTCTGTTGGTGTGCCACTGTGCTGTGTATCAGTGTTTGTTTTGGTACTGATTTGTCTGTAGAAAAGTTTTTCATTGTTTGTGAATAATTTATTTTGTTGTTTTCGTAGTGTACATGTTTTGTATCGTTTGAGTCTACGTGCTTTGGCTGCGAGTTTTTGTTTTAGTGTATCGATGTATTCTGTAATGTGTGTGTTGTGATGTTCATGTTTTGTGTGTGTTTTGATTTTCTTGAAAATGTTTTTGAGTTGTTTCTTTAATTTGGGTGTTATGTTGTTTTTAGTGTATTGTGTCAGCCTGCCTAATTGCTGTCTAATGTCATTTATTTGTGTTTCTATTCTTCTCTGCCAGGCAGGCTTGTGATAGGATTGTGTTTTGTGTGTGTCTGTCTGTGAGTGTATTTTCAGTCCATGGTGTGTTACTACTGTGACTGCCCCAGCATAAACTAATGTATGAATGTCTGAGAGTGTAGAAATTGAATGAATGTAGTTTGGTAGTAAGTGAGTGTTTACATAATTTAGTGTTTTTCCTACTTCCTTTGACGTATTGATTTTCGGTATTCGTGGTCTTTGTGTGGGATCTGTACCAGTATATTTAGTGTTTCCTGAAATATAAGTGAGAGTGTATTAACTAAATCTATATCTATGTTATCAGTGATGGATGAGGAAGTGTCTGTAGTATCACTAATGGGAGTTGTTGTATATGTACTATTATCAATGCTTGTTGCTGGATTATCCTGACAGGTTACGTGATCTTCATTAATGTTAAGTGTTTCTGTCTGTTGATGTATCTGATCAGCAACCTGTTGTTTGATAAGTTCAAGTGTTGTTTGTGGGATAAGGTTGTTGTGTATAATTGTTCTTTTTTGATCAACAACCCTTTGTTCGGTGACAGTGAGGTGAGGATATTGTTGTGTGAATCTATGGTGTAGTTGTTGTCTGTATGCTGTCATGTTTGTTTCGAGTCTTGTGATGGTGTAGTAAGTGTGTATGATAAACTCGTTCATTTCTGATGTCCATTTCATCCATTGGTGTGGTTTTCCAGCTTTTGTGGTCTGTGGATGCATTGCCACAGAAACACCAAGGCTAGGTTGATTCCTCACATCTGTTGAGGGCATTGCAGTAGCCGTGCTTGGGCTGGCACTGCTTTTGCCACTGGTAACCAAGGGAGACTGGAGCCTATTTTTCGAACATGAGCCTCTGCCTAACCCACGAACGCGGACCTTGTTAACCCGGGCGACGTCCAAGCCGGTATCATACTTAGATCTGGTTACTACCATGATAAATATCTCCACAGAATGTGGGTGTGTGGTCCCTCTTAGCTTCATTTCTCTCCATAGACCTTACTAGCATGGGTGTCCCTACCAGGAGCTTGTGCTCCAGCCTGCATTGCTCTACGGTTTGGTAAAATTACTGGGCTCTCCCACCCCGACCAGGTGGTGACCACAGGAGAGTTATTATTATGTTGGTTTAGTGGGTAATACTCTGTTGACACCAGTGGCTGTGTACTATGCTGGACCAGAGTCAAGGCATAGCAACCAAAACAAAACTAAAATTAAATATATCAGTGTCTGTATTCAGGAATTTCCTAACAATATGGCATGTATTCAATATAGTAGCCTTCTATAGTGTGATGTATGTATTTCTATTCAATTGTAATGTTCCCAGACTTCTGTGTAGTGTGTGTGGTATAACACCTGTTCTGGAGAGAACGACAGGTACAATAAGCACCCTTTCCATCCTCCACAGGTCTTATTTCCTGGGCGAGTTTATTATTATTATTGAGTAAAAATTTTTCATGATGGAAAACTGAGCAAAGTCTGTGCATAAAACAGTTTATTTTACATAATTATCTATTACATGCATATTAATAAAAAAAGTTGCTTTGAATATTGATTGATATAAAAAGTTTTGTATTATTAGCCTTCTTAAAGTGTTTGGATATTTCTACTTTCATTTATTATAAAAATAGAATTATAAAATAAAGTTTCTCTTAAATAAATAATATGGAAGAATAAAACATGTCTTACTTTAAAAAAGTCATACATTCCCATATGTTCTTTTAGCTATAAGAAATTTCTTGGTTATTGGGCTGCAATTTTCAAAAATTGTAGACTTGTAAATTCCCACTGGTATCAGTCAGATTTTCCTTGTTCTTCCATAATCTCAAGAACAGAGTTAGATAGATGAAAGTCGAGACTAGATACAGAAAGCTTAGGGGCAGGAGGCCCTTATTAATTATATTAAAACTTCTAGTTTGGAATACAAGTCATGTTATTTCAATTCAAAAATTTTCTGGTGACAGGCATTGAGTATTGTTAACAGGAAAAGTATGGTGTACAGGGGCAAGACTAAAGGGCACTACTAAAGTTGAGAGCATTGTGACAATGTCACAATAAATAATGGCTTGTTGTTTAGAATTTTCATGATTAAGAATGTTTAAAACATCCACATTTATGTATGCCAAGTAATTATTTTTCTGATTTATTGATAAATGTTAATTAATACTTCTTTATGTGAAAATTAATTATTAATTTTTTTTCTAGCATTGGCTAAAGGTGGTGGATTTTTCTCTTCTGAGGATGAGGACGACGATGACGATGATGATGACGACGACTCACAAGATGATTAGGACAACAATTAAACATCTAACTTGACCTAAACTGTTATACATATATCTCAAATACACACAATATAGTTTTCAGAATAGATGAATGATAAACTGAACTAAAGATGTTAATACTGAATTTGGTACAAATTGTTTGAATTTCAGCTGTAAAATGTAAAAAAAAAGACAGCACTTCAAATGAATTTAGTTGAAAGTTATAGTCCATTGTTGAATATAAATTTTTATATTTGGTTATTTTGTACATAGATGCATGTATTTTTCATTCAACTGATTTTTGTTAATTTATCAAATCAAAACTGAAATGCCGACATTTATTATATGTAAATATACATTCTAATATCATTCTAATGGGATGATGGTTGGCAATGAAAAATTTCTGGTTTCTAAAATATGTTAATTTAAAAACAAAACAATGATTTTATATCATCATCAATTTAAATTGTCACAAGTGTAAATTAATTCATTCTAGAAAGTAACTGCCTATTCTTAATTTGAACTTGATGATAGCAATAAAAAAAATTTACTTTTAGAAAAAACGAATTATTAAGTGACTAATTGATAAGCAAAAAAGATCCAATATTTTTCAAGGATATATACTGAAGATATTTTATAAATCCTACTTTCTTAATTTTAGATGAATTAAACTTTTGTTAGAAGATTGGTAATCTTTTTCCCCTTTCTAATTTTATATTTGCATATAGGTTATTTTTTGAAGAAAAATTCTAAACTTATTTGATATTGATTTGTTTTTCATTTAAAATAACCATGTTCTTCAAACATATCACAATAAGATTTAAAAACTACATCATAAAATCCAAGTGTAATTTTGAATTTTATTACATAGTAGTAGGTATTTTACAAAATATTTTTATATAAATTATCAGGTTTATTTATTTGTTTCATAACTATTAACATTAAATACTAATCTAAATTTTATAGTTTCGTCCCAAATAAGTTGTGGGTTTGAATGTTATTCTGGCTGTCTGTTCTCACTATTTCTAAAATTAAAATCCTTATAAAATTATGATTCTAATTAGATTTAGAAAAAATTTTGAAAAATTTTACATCTAGTGTATAATTAAAAAAAATCCCAGTTTCAAATTATAAGATAACCCTATTTTTAATTGACATAAGTGTTTTAGTAACACTCCTTGCCTCTATCACAAAAGCTAATTAATTAAAATGAAGCTATAAATATAAAAATTCATATAGGATTATATTTATTTTCTTCCTTTTAAACTGTAAACAAACTAATTTTCAACTTTTCTACAATAAAAAAGTCATTCAATTTAGTGAATATAATGTATTTTATCACCATTACTTTCAAAGTATATTCCATGCTTATTTTTAATTAAATATTTTTGCCAGTTTTAAATAATTTAATTACTTAGTCATTAATTTAGTTATTGTAATTTTTCATATAAAATGAATTTTATGTAAACTCTTACACTAAGCCACATATTTCTACACAATCTGTTTGCATATTTTTGTTTGTCACAAACAATATTAATTTTAAAAAATGATTAATTAAAATTTCTTATAAAAGAGAAACCACCATAAACACTAACTCCAAAAATTTTTTCTAAAACATTATTAAACTGTTATTTATCTTAAACTGGAAAAATTGAATTTGGTTATTAGATTAAATGTAATTTTAAGTAGAAGTTTAGAACAAAAAATGGTTTCAATTCAAATATAATGTGATAATTCCTACATAATATAATGTAATATATAAGTGTTTAGAATGTAACGTCGTCAAAGATTTCAAGACTAATAAAACCCTAATGATATTCTTTCTTGCACAGCTTGACCTATATGGCTCATGTGCCAAAAAAAATCCAACCAACCATTCTTTCTCTGTTACTGTGTGATATATTCTCTTGAGCAGGAATATGCTAGTATGAGAATTGAAGAAAAGGAAACAACTCAAGGATGATTTCATCAGTGTATGAGTGTGTCAACTTTCTGACCTGAGAAAGTTTTAACTTATGCTTTCTTGGTGTCGGAAGTGACACCTTTAAATTAAGGTATTTGCTACTTTCAATATAACAAGGAATGGCCAATTCTAGTTGGTCATCACCTGTTTTTCATCTCTTTCAGATCTCTGCTTGTGTGCTATTACTATCTACAGCCTCATTTGTGCCTTTGAATTCCTCGTCATCCTTTGGTGTGTGTGCCACCATTTTCCAGAACTGTTAATCAGGAACTTTCCTCCCCTTCTCCTTGATGTAGGATTTCTATTTCAAACTTGTAAGGTACCAAAATTTGTGCTCTCTCTCCACAATGATAATGCACGTAAATACGAATACTGTCATTGTCTTTAGTTGTGTAACGTATTATACAACTTATTATTATTCTAATAATAATGGAATTGCTAGATAATGTTTTTAATTAAATAATGATGATGAACTTTAGAATTTTGTATGCTCAGTATGATCATTTAAATTACTGAGAAATGTAATGCTTAATAGTACAAATACCTTAAAAATTGCATTAAATACTAATTTCTAACATTTTTGGCTATATTTAACCGAGTTTCTTCTAGAAGGTATGGCCAAAAATGTTAGAAATTAGTCTACACATCTGTGACACCTATAAATAAGATTATGGATTCAATGATAAAGCCTAGCAATGATATGGCAGCAGTTTGCTGTAATTATGGGCTTGTTATAAATTTAATAAGTTTAGGCAAAAAGTCTTATTAGTATATTGTTTTCTTGATAAAATTGATTTCCTTTAATTAAACTTATTTACATGAAATTTCTTTCTTTCAGTTTAATTCAGATGAAGTTGTGTCCCCATGGATCTTTGCCTCTTGTATATATACAAGATGCAAGAATCTTTTTCTTTTAAAAAAAATTAAAGTTACAAAATGATTTTCTTGTATTTCAGTAATAAAATCCAAGTTTATACATTGGAATTCAACTTTGTCATATTCAAGATTGGATTTCCCTTGCTTTCATTGGTCTTTAACTGATCCCATTCTAGTAATGTATAAAGAAATTATCTACATATCTAAGTTTTAGACACAATAAACTAATCTCTAAAAAAAACATGTACTTTCACAATTTGAGCAAAACTCTACAAAATACTAGGCTGTCAGTACTCCAACTTATTCTTAATTTCAAGGACAAATTTCCCATGGTCCATAATAATAATTTACATTGTTTTGTCAAATCCTTTCATATATTCCATTCACTCTGTCAACGCCAGTGGCAAAAACTGATTTTTATCATTCATCTTTATCTATAAAACATTCACGCTAGTTGTTATCGTTGCATTCAGATATTGCATGGTATCAATAGAGTGCTGGAATGAAAAACATTCTGTAATAATTACAAAATGTTTTTCTAGTCCAGTCAGATAGAAAGGGGCCATTTGTAGGTGGGAGGTCTCTGGGTAGAGATGATCCCTTAAAAGTTTTTGTTCTTTATACAATTTGACATGGTTTGAGAAATTTATTATCACTGTTTCAACTTTTCAGTGCACACTATTCACACACACAAATATGTCCTATAGGAAAAATTTAAAATATTTTTTATCATTAGGATCTGTTGAACCTTAGTTTAACAGATCATAATAATAATAATATCATAATAATATTAACACATCATGCACATTTAAGTTCATTATTAATTAATATAGGGTGATTCACTCAGGACTGAACAGTTGTTCCATCCTCACAATTACATGTTCAAATATAGCTGTGCAATGTAAGACATATCTTGACTGCTTCATGCTCATCTTTTCATTTTATATGGAGCTTTCCTATATTACAAGTGTTCAATAACAAGCAAATCACCATTTGTTTTTAAAACACATTTGGAAAGAGTGGCTTCTCCTTCCCCATTTAGTCTGTTAAAAAAAGAGAGAGAGAATAATGACAAAATTAATCTGTTAAACTTTCCATTAAATGCACAGTTTACACAAATGATAATGTTTAATTTTATTTATCTTGAAATTTTGAATTGTTTTATTTTTTTACATACATTGTCCTCATAGACTATTCAGTTTGTCATCATTGAAGAAAGGAATTTATTTCCTAGTTAAAAAAAAAAATCTGATTAACTTCTGGTTTAGAACATGGTTTATTAATAATAATGCTAACATTGTCTCTACCTGCACTTAAAAAGATAGCATTAACATAAATAACATACAACAACAAAAACCCTTCAAGATGCAAACTTCAAATTGAAAATAGGCTCTAAAGAACAAGAATGACTGGAATACTTGTTTGTCTTCTATTCAATGTTTCAGGAAATTAAAATGGCTTTTTGGATAATTTGGCTTATCTCATATTAAATAAAAATTACTGTTGCAATATTTTTGCTTTTAATCTTGTCTGTCAAAGTCAAAATTTAAAGCTTTATACAAAAATTGTTTTAAAGTTCATTTATCATTTAAATGCTTCCGTTTTTGTTGGTTTTCTAATATTATGATAATTAGGAAGTATCTTCTTCAGAAAATCCAGCTGTAATGATTGTGACTAGAAAAAAAAAAAAGAAAAAACTTCAATATACTTATTTATTATATATTATTATAGATATTTATTATATTAATAATTAAAATTACTATATTACTGTATTTTTTTTTAGCCATCCCAACGTGATGAATTCAAAATGTAACCTCAAATTTACAAGGCTGATTATTTCTAAAAATTAGGTATGTATTCAAATTTGTTTTTAACACTTATATAGAGAATGTAAACATTTCCAGAAATATCCTGGCATGACAACTCAATCCACATAATGATTCTCTAAATGGAAGATGTTGGAAAAGAATTTCAGAAAAAAATTCAAAATAGTGTCTGTTAAGATGTTTTTTATAAACATAATGTGATAGCCAGCATGTCTACCCACTGCTTTAGAGACCAAGGATCAAATTTGAGCAGTCCCAAAAAAACCCCCCAGAAATTTTTCATGGCAGTCAGACCCTGCCCCTCATCACCATCACCCTGTTATAGACCTGGACAACTCTTATTGCCCACAGGGCAGTGTGTCAAAAACATCTTGATAATCTTTGGATTTTAAACATTATTATTTCTCCTTTGTGTATTTCCAAAGATTGGAAACAGATTTATGATGTGATTTTGTTGGACAGATGGTTTCATTCTGACAGTTGAAATCCTCTGTGCAAATTCAAGCTTATTGGGCTGAAATTTGAAAAAATTGTAGACCTAAAAATCCCCACTAAGTTATATTCCATAATCCTATCTAGAAAATTTATTAGACATTTAAAAGTAGGACTCAAATTTCAAAACAGACAATACACTTTTTATGGTTGGAAAAAGAATAGGCCTATTCTTGGATATTTAGTTTTTCCCTTGAAAAATAATAATCATTATGCGTACTACAGTAGAACCTCGATTATCCGACCCTCGGTTAACCGACCGTCCTAGTCGGCAAATTCCAAATGTTTGCTAGTGATGTGGCCCTACAATATTTGGCTATGTCTTGGCTACTTTAATATTATTTTTACGTGTTTTAGCTGACAACACTCATTCAACCATGAAAGGGAGCCAGTATTTAAACGAAGCTTAATTTTCTAATTTTTAACGATACAATAGCGACGATTATTATTTTAAAAAATTTTTGTTAGGCTTAACATCGATGAAAATTCAACGCAAAATAGGTTAATAGCGATATACTAATTACATGGGATATAATAATATACTACACTAATAATGGATTTTTTCATACTTTTCGGTTATCCGACCAACCCCAGTCCCCAATTAGGGCGGATAATCGAGGTTCTACTGTACTTGATATTGCTGTTGGAGAATGTTGCCTCTATGCAGCATAAATTTGATATGTTGTTCAGCTGTTCTCAAGAAAATGGTCTGGCTTAGAAATAAGACATTTTTAATACATATTGTATAACTTGTTGAGAATCTGATATAATTTAACATGTATATTTCAAGATTCATTTGGAGTTTGTTTGTTATTATGAGAATTAAACAAATTTCATCTTTGGTATATTGACAGATTTAATTAAGGAAGATTACATATCCATAATTGTTTATAGTAATAACACTCTTTTAAATAAAATCTTCAAGTGAATTATAACATCTTAACAAATGGCATAATGATTTTTTCTCCTTATTTGATATCTAGACATTAAATTAATCTTATTTCTATAAATTTTTTGTCTACATAAAATCCAATTACAACATTAATTAATTAATTAATGCTTGAATAACCTAAAACAAATTAGAAAATCTTTCTCCTAGAAAAGGATTGATACAAAGAAATAAATTAAAAATTTTAAATTCAATCTAAAATTGCATACATTTATTAGTAATCTGCAATTAAAATCATAATTAATTCTCCCTTATTTAGATATAGATAAATGTTTTATTTGGGAAAATAAGAAGATTCAAATTTTATGTTCACATAAAAAATTAAAATAGATATTTAATATTGTTGGATAGCTCATATACCATATTTACTCGCATATAAGATGAGATTTTTATTTATTTTTCATTGCTTCAAAAACCTAGGTTGTCCTATACCAGAGGTTGATAAAACATTATTGGGGGTTGATTATCAAGTCTCACTGACTGTCAGTTACAAAAATTAACAATAAATGAAAAAAAAAAAAAAGCAAAATTAAAAGAAATGTATTACAAGCAAAACAAAGTACTTACTATTTTAACACAAACTTTTTGGTGGAGGTCGATGTGAGGTTTTGAAAACTTGTAGGGGGTGACGATCAAAAAAGTTTGGTGACCCTATATGCATGAGTGAAGGATTTTTGCAATAACTTTTGTAAACTGTTTATTTGAACTTTTAACTGGATGCTCACTATTTTTGTTTTTAAACACCAGTTTTTATCAGGGTTGTTTGAATCGTTTTTGTATATTGTCAGGAGTAAAGATAAATAGCAATAGGAAGAGCAAAGCTTTTGAATTCAAATACTGAAATTTCCAAAATCAAATGGGAGCCCGATATAAGTTTTAATCCATTCCCACATGAAAACATGATTATTCGGAAATCAGAATTCAGAGAAAGTCATAAGTGTAATCTTGATGGAGAGTGGATTTGACTATTAAGAATTGGCAAAAAAGGTTCCCGATTGTCCAGCAAATTCTAAATACAGTGTAGGGCCATAAATTAATTAAAGCCAAAGGCCAGTAATCTGCAAATTCACTCAAGCTGTGCAAAAAGCTTGGATCCCAATTTTTTGATACTATGGATTGTACAGACCTGGACATGGCCTCTAGGAACAAGAACAGGCTGACATCACCTTGTATTTTACTAAAAAATAAACACTGTTTGTAACTTGTTATTGTGTAATAACAACTATTATATTACTGTACTGTATGTTTAATTTTATATTATAAACATTTTAATAATTTTTTTTATTTCTAACATTGTTAATATATTAATGTGTGATGGTAATAAAAGTGCTTGTGCTTGTGTGTGATTTTGTTTATATGTCAAATAATTATTATAGTATTAAAATACTGTATTGTGCCATGCAATGTTACAAATAAATATTTAGTAATTTTTATGAAAAGATATAAAATGTTTTAAATGTATTTGATATGTTTTGTTACTCTTAAATAATAAATTATTATTAATTTCAAGACCATTAATGCATAAATTACAATAAATAAAAAAAAAAAATATTTTTTGACAATCAAAAAACATTAAGCCGCAGTTTAATGGCTCTACAGTGTATTTAAATTAACAAATTATGTCGATTTTACAAGATTTTTCCTTAAGGTTTAAAATGCTAGTAATATTTGCAGGACAGTGTGTACATTTCTGGGCATTTGATATTTTATTTGCGATAAAGTTAGAATTGTATTAATACAATTCTAATTTTCCTTATTTTGATCTTTAAAGTCATACCTCGTCCTATATGCCAGATTGTTTTATACACGAGTAAATATGGTATATTTCTTGTAATAAATTATTCATTAGTAAACCTATAATAGCACTGTAATTATTTAAATAATTTCAATCAAAACAATCATTTAAATAAAATACCCACTGCAGGTTTTTCTTCTTGAATTCTGCGTCCACAATTTCTACCATATATGACAGTGTTTTCTGGAATAACTTCTCGAGTTGTTATTTCACACATGGCTCCAATAACACATCCTGATGTTAACTCTGTATGCCGTCCAACTTTTGCTAATCAATGAAAACACACACCATAAATGATAACAAAATTATACTAAATGTTCATAATCGGAAATAATGTAAGTAGTAATTTGTGTTTCAACATATACTTGATCATCATTAAGGGCCAAATTTATGTACATGTTAAAACCTCAGTAATATACTAAAATTTATAGGTTGAAATGCATATAAGTACTTTAGTAAAATTTCTTTGCAGACAGAAGTAACATCTATAATCTCACACTTTTTAGATAGGAGGGGATAAACATGTGACAATAGGTGACACAAGGAATTTGAAAATTATGACATCACAAAACATTATTAAAATAATGCTTCACATAAGAGATGTGCAGTCAAGTCAAGTCAATTCACATGTTCAATGAATAGAAATTTTATAAAATTTTATTCATTATTGAATTTATTTCTTGTAAACAAATGATATATACTGTATTTACTTGGATTTAAGATGAACCTTAATTTCTAAATGCTCACCAACAATTTTTTTTTTTTGTTGAAAAATAGACAACTTAAGATGAATTCATGTATTCCTTTTAAGTTATATAACTGAATGTGTTGACACAAATTTATACAGTATTTATTACGAATAAAGTAAGTTATATATATTATCCCTAGTACCACAGTTAAAAATCTGCACTTTTTCTGGGATTTTCATCTAAGTACTTATGTTGTTACTGTAATAGACTAATGAGATTGAACTAAGCTGACTTCTTAAATATCTGCTATTACTAATATTGATCTAATAAAATCATTAAAATGACACAATGGAATTAGTAACAGAGAACCAAGGCATTTGGCACTAGACCACTAATTATGTTGTATTACATTAAATCTAAGATGCACCCTAATATTAAAATCTGAAAAAAGTGACCAATTCCCCTCATTCTGTAGTTACATCACTCATCAAACGTTATCATATATTTTTGCTTATAGCTCCATACAGATTGTGAGAAATGATCTCTTTAAATCATTTTACAGATTTGACCATTTTTGGAACTAAAGTATGCATTATTTAACAACCTTAATTTGATCCATTTGGACCTAAATTGTGTTTATGTTAGGCTTAAATTTTGAAAAGCTCACTGAGCAAAAATCAACCACAATTCATTCTGACTTCTCAGGTCCAGCCACACTTTCAAAAATGCACACAACACATTTTGGCATATTCAATAAGATCACAAAGGGAAATGTGTGTCAATGTTTTTTTTAATAATCAACCTAACTGTGATCTGGCAATGTGAAAATGCCACAATTCATTGTGGATGTTTATTAATGAAGCCATGACACAATGTGATAAAAATACACATGTTGTTGCCATGATACAATGTGATAAAAATACACAAAAATTGTGTTACTTTAATAAATAATTTAAGTATAATTTCCACCAACAGACTACTTCTGAACAATGTTTATTATTAGAAAAATACTTTGAAGGAATTTTCCCTTATTTTGGAAGAATTTCACCTATATTAACATTCTGATTATTAACAAAAAAACAAAAAAATTTTAACTACTATTCAACTTACATTTTGATTCAAGAACATTGTTATCTCCAATAGTCAATGCTTCACTATCTGTTAATTTTGTTAAGTAAAAATATAATTTATTCCATTAAGAAATTACTAATTATTTAATAACTTACAAGATTATTATATCTTAATATAACATGAGAAATTTATTTTCTTATAATAATGTAATTTATTATATTTGGTATACAAAAATCATAAACTTACTGGGTCTCTCAGACTTTGCTCTAGTAACTCATATAATTTATTTATTAATGAAATTTGTTATAAATTTATAAAAAATATTAATGCATAATGATAATATATACACTATACTACTGTAATATAGCACAGTTAATTAAGAAAACTTATAATATCCAATACATTGGTATTGTTTCTTGTCAAATTTGTAATATGTGATGCTTCAATTCTTCTGCACTTGCCACTTTGTGTTTCTGCTCAACATTTCATCAACTTTCAATAGGACTGATATCCAGCAAATTGGCTAGTTATGCCAATTTCCTGAATATCAGTCCTACTTTATGTCATTTTGGTTTATGAAAAGTTTCATAAACCAAAATGGCATAAAGTGAAGCAGCAATTACCATTAATTTATACAGAAAAAAAATTTTGAACATTTCCATACTTAAAATTAACTTACTAAATCATATTAAAAAAAACATAGCCTTCCTGCTTTTACTATACGAGGTCTGTTCAAAAAGTATCGGACTTTTATCTTTTCCACGTAAACCAATGATGCGTTGGAGGCCTCTTTCGGTGGAGTTGTGGAGGGGACAGTCATGCACAGCCCTGAATTTTTTTCCGCCTGCAGGAAGCATCAGTCATTGGCAGTCGGCCTATGAGTGAGGACATGTAGTGAGCTCTTGTCAGATTCCACTAAGTTGGAAAATGACTCAACAACATGAGCAGTGATATTACATCAAATTTTGCCAAAAACCTTGGCAATACCCAAGCGTAAACCATTCGCAAGATTCAGCAGGCTTTCAGGGACGATCCTCGAGGCAAAAAAAAGTGCGGCAGGTCCGCAGCAATATCAAGGTCATGTTGACAGTTTTTTCGACTGTCGTGGGGTAGTTTATCGTGAGTACGCACCACAAGGCCAAACCATTGCAAAGGAGTACTACCAGGAGGTCCTTCATCGTCTTTCTGATGCTGTGCGACACAAACGACAGGATCTGTGGTCGATCAAAACTTGGCAGCTCCATTGTGATAACGCATCTGCCCATTCTACGCATCTGATTCGGGCTTTCGTTGCCAAACACAACACTCCTATGATTCGTCACACTCCGTACTCTTCCCCAATGGCTCCGTGTGATCTTTGGCTATTTCCCAAGCTGAAAATGCCGCTAAAAGGAATCCGATTTTAGTCAAGAGAAGACATCATGCGGAATGTGACAGACATTCCAAAAGATGCGTTCCAGCAGTGTTTCCAGCAATGGAGGAATGCTGGGAGAAGTGTATACACTACCAAGGAGACTACTTTGAAGGGGATTAGGGTTTTGTACCTCAAAATCAATAAATGTACTTTTGCCAACTAAAGGTCCGATACTTTTTGAACAGCCCTCATATGTCTTACATTTTTATTTTTTTCTCACTTTTCCATTTTTTGCTAACAGATAAACAAACAACTCAACAAAGCACAGATGCTCATAGATATAGTTCAAACTTGATGCTGAGTATAGTTTCCAGGAAAGGAGCATGGAGATTCTTCTCAATGTTCACTGCTTGAGTGCAGTTCATGACTTATTTTTGTATACTATACAAGATATTATTATTTTGTATATTATACAAGATATACTTCTTCAGGATATTATTTTAGCCACTTTGGTACTGTAGTTGTGCAATTTAACTGCTATCATTAATAATGTCAATTTTGCCTCTTTCAAAGCCACAAGCATTATTTTCTTTTCAAGGGTTAATTCAATAACTTTTCCCATTTTTAAAATTATTTACAGAACATGATCATATGCATTCCTTGCTTTAATATCTTGCCTTCATTTGAATATTTAAACATTTTATTCGTGATTCTAAAGTTTTTCAACACATTACCAATATTTCTATACTTTTGAAACATGAACTTGATAGGATCACATGAATAGCAGTAAGTGTTTATGTAATTTCAATAAAACTTCAACATAATAACACTTTCAACAAACAGTTTATATTCTTAATGTTATGATGCAGTAATATATACAGTGCAATTATTGATCAAGGTGTTTCTAAAGTTTTGGAAAGAAGTTAAGTATAAAGACCACTGTTGATAAGAATTCATAATAGAATTTCTTTTTAATTTTGAAGAAAGCAAAGGAGAAAAAAAAAGAAAAGATTATTAGAAAATTTCAAACCTGCAAACATTCAACTTGGAATATATCAAACCATCATAAACTCAAGACTATTACATTATACATACATATAAATTTTGATATGTGATAATTATATGTAACTATTCTATATTTAAACATAAGGATACAGCATCCAACTTCAAATACATTATTATTTCCAATAACCATTACACTTTCATTACCAAGTTTCACATCATTGTTTCCAGGCAATCTATTGTAATAAAAGTAAATTTTTTTTAAATTTAACTTTTAAAATATTAAATCAAAATTCAATTTTTGTAGAAAACTACAATAAATAAGTAAATACCTAAATTACTTTAAATAACCAACAGTAAGTTTGCAATTATGAATTATAAGCCATTAATTTATAAAATCTATGCATTAATCAAAACATCTTACTGGCAATTCCAACAACTATAAAAGGCACTGTACAAATTTAAAATAATAGATGAAACAGAACAAGTTTCTTTACATTGACATTAAATGGTCTCTTACATGTTAATGTAAATGTAAGTTAATATTATTTGAAAAAAGTGAAAATACTGTGGTACCTCAAGCTTCAAACAACTAACTTCAGACATGTCAAAGTTTGAGTGCTAAATTCAACAAAAATTCACTTTGGAGTTTTAATTAATGATGCTTCAAAGTTTGAACTACACTTGTAAAAAATGCAATCTGTTGTATGCACAAGTTGTCTCTCACTCTCCCATTATGGTTGAATATTTTCAGAGCTTTTTTTATTTTATTTTTGGTGTTTGGTTATATATATCACATTAGCAATAATGTGTTAAGTTTCACAACTGTTATAATTGAATCACACATCTATGTTAAGTAAGGACAGCTGTTAAAAAATACACAAAATCTTTCTGTTCAATCCAATATAAACTTTATTCATTAAAGTATAAGAAGAAGGTTGTAATGTCAACTATTGAGATGAAAAAAGAACTTTTCACAAAGCATGAAAGCAGTACATGTGTGGCAGATCCAGCAGCCACATTTAAGATGCCACAGTCGACAGTGTACAACCAGTAAATGTAATTTTCATTTTATTATTGGCAAGCGCCAAATCCGACAAAGGGCGCTGTTTTTGAGCCAAGATGGCTGCCGAAACAGGTAAGGAGCCGACCACGTGTTTGTTCAGTGCCTGAGCCGATTCAGTTTCTATCGGTGGCGACTACTGCGAGGACCAAATGAAGAACAAATCATTGAATTTATGTCAAATTCTAGACTATATCGGCGACAGGAAACGTTGTCTTGTAGAATGTGAAGCCGTTTTGGATATATGTGACGTACACACACACACACATTATGTTGTGTGTGTGCTACACAACCAAACTTTTGACTGGCCTATGTTGTATAAGTGCTGAATGACTCAGCAGGGCAGCCTTCAGATTGGCACTAATTTTAACTATTATGATAAATAAAACTTTGTTTTTATATTGGAACATGGTGTATACTGCTTAAAATATTTAAATACTTCTCACCTGTTAACGTGTAATAAACATGCTATCACATGTTTACAAAAACCAGACAGCTCCGCTTTGCACGTGCATTCTCCCTGTAATTGAGATGTATTAAAATGCCAATATCTGAGATTGCAACATTAAAGCAACAACATGAACTTTGGTGTTGTTGTTAGAGTTTAATCCACAAAATACGATGTGTCCGCATCCAAAAACGGCTTCACCTTCTACAAGACAACATTTCCTGTCACCGATATACTCTAGAATTTGACATAAATTCAATGATTCGTTCTCGCAGTAGTCGTCACTGATAGAAACTGAATCGGCTCAGGCACTGAACAAACACGTGGTCGGCTCCTTACCTGTTTCGGCAGCCATCTTGGCTCAAAAACAGCGCCCTCTGTCGGATTTGGCGCTTGCCAATACAGTATTTGCATATTTCATTTATTGGTTTCAGATTTTAATTTATTATTAGGGTATTTATTTGTGTTACTTTTCCTTTAAATCATGAGCATTTGATGTTTTAAGTTTATCAAAATGGGTATTGTTTATGCTTTGGGAATAGATTAAATCACTTTCCATTATTTTTAATTGAATTAATTGATTCAAACGTTAAATGATTTGGAGCTCAAACAGTCTCCTGGAATGAATTAAATTCAAAGTATGAGGCACTACTGTATAGTGAATGCAAATTACAAACTATACTAATTGGATTTCAAGAAAAGAATTTGGTTAATAAAATTCTTATTGAATTGTGTTTGCAACTTCCAGCATTTATTTCCAATCTTATAAAATCAGCATTATTATTTGTAAAAATAAATTCAATAATATTGATAATTATAAATGTATTTGTGGTGTTGGAAGTTCATAAAAATATAAGCACATTATGTTAACCATTCAAAATAACACACAAGACTTATTATCATGAGTTAAATATTAAATTTTGAATTTAAAATGTTAACATATATAGGTAACTCTCATAAAGTGGAACTTCTAAAACACTGTTTTGCTCTAATACAGTTAAAGAATTGCAGCAATTATAATATAACATGATATTTCTGAGCCTTTGTGCAGGAAAAATCTTAATATTATGCTTATGTTATTTTTTGACATTTCCATTTATTTTTATTTAATTTCCATTTACTTATTAGCTCTCTAAACAAAAACAACAAGATAAAAGATTTCCACCCCCTTTTTTATCAAATGCTTTGTTGTTGTCTACATTTTATCTTGTTGAGAGATTCAGGTGTTAGATTCTATACTACAGAACTCACACATGTTAGAATCATTAAATATTTGACAACAAAACAGTTTGTGACTTTTAAGATTTTATGAATATACTGTTATTTATTATACCAGTTTTTCTGAGTATCATTGAACTTCATTCTTAAGAATCATACTGGAATAATTATTTTCTGTTATGAAATAAATTCCAGTTCTAAATTTTACCTAATAAAAATAAAAAAAGCATCACTGAAAAGAAATTTTATTTCTCTAGAATCAAAAATAAAATTTTGAATTGTCTGGAAAAGGGAAAGAAAACATATATGTCACAAAGTGTTTAAATTTAAATTAATTGTGTTGTTGCCTAAATTAAGAAACAATCTGAGCCATAAAGAAAATTAAAACTAAATATTTAAAAAATTAAAACTGTTACTGCTGAGGATCTTTTATTTATTCAAATCTGACAGATTTTTTGTTAGCTTTTGGAACCCAATGTCTTTCTCTTATTGATATTTACTCTAGTATGACATGATTTCAAATAACACAAGATTTTATAGGAATTTAAATACCATGTATTAAAGAATGCCTATCTGTAGAATTTTGGGTTTGAATATGTAAATGAATTAAGTTGCACTAATATTAAAAATGCTTAGAAAGTATTTGGAATAATTTTATTTCAAAATGATTATATAACACAGTGCAATATTGAAATATTTACATTTTGTATACATATAAAGCATTATTAAAAAATTTATTTTCTGTCTACAGATTTGCATAATTTGTGTCCACTATTTTCATTGAGAAAATGATGCAAGGATAATGTTTTATCTTTCTATCTACTACTTGATGTATGTGACACAAAAAAAGTCTTTCAAGCCTTTTCTGCCATTCTAAATACGTAAAACATATGTTAATAGTATTTCTGATTTTTCTGTGCTAATTAAAATTTTTATCATTACAGGACACAAATTTAGCTGAAATTCACAATTCATAACTTAAGTAAATTATATATACTATAGTGAATAATAATAATTAAAAAACTTAAAGATGAATTCAATACAGTAGAGCCTTGATTATCCGACTCAATTGGGGACTGGGGTTGGTTGGACAATTGAAAAGTCGGATAACCGAAAAGTATGAAAAATCCATTATTAGTGTAGTATATTATTATATCCCATGTAATTAGTATATTGCTATTAACCTACTCGCGTTGAATTTTCATCAATGTTAAGCCTAACAAAAATTTTTTAAAATAATAATCGTCACTATTGTATCGTTAAAAATTAGAAAATTAAGCCTCGTTTAAATACTGGCTCCTTTTCATGGTCGAATGAGTGTTGCCAGCTAAAACACATAAAAATAATATTAAAGTAGCCAAGACATAGCCAAATATTGTAGCGCCACATCACTAGTGGACATTTGAAATTTGCCGACTATGACGGTCGGTTAATCGGGGGTCGGATAATCGAGGCTCTACTGTATATTGTATTAGCAAAACTATCTACTCAAGTAATTATATTTTGTATTAGTTTGCCATTAAGAAAAATTTGTCTTTAGTTGTCAAGAAACAGTTAAATATAATAAATTAAAATTTTGATCAATTGAAAAGATCTTAATTTAAAATTAATTTTAATGTGAAGTTACAAATATGCAAACTTCAAAATTATTTCCCAATAGTAAATTGATCATATTAACAAATAGATTTAATAGCAATTATTCAGATATAACAAACTTTTCACTTTCAATTTCAATTTTAGAATTATTATTATTAAATCAATCTGTAATATATCTCTATCTCTAATAATAATAATATATGTATAAATTAAATTATATATATATTTATCTTCTTCAAAACAAAAAAGTAGAGTACCAATTAATTTAATGTTCTGTTTCTTTCATTTTGAAAAAAGGAGTTATTTTTTCCTTTAATAAATTATATATTAATATCATACATTATTGTGCCTAAAAATTAAATTTCATTTATTACTGGATTACTGATTATTTCATTATTTTAAATGATTGTTTTAATGTTATAGAAAATGCTACAATTTCTTTTGCTCTTATACAAATTTGCAAGTGAAAACATCTTAGAAAATCATATATTTTTAAATAAATTAACATAAATAATTATTACTTGTTGATAATCTGTACTTGTTCCTCAATGAGATTATTTTCACCAATTATGATAGGTCCAGCTTCAGCAATAATACGAACAGTAGGATGTATTACTGTTCTATTTCCTGCAGATGAGAAAAATTTAATATAAAGTAAAATCTTTTAGCAGATTAAAAGCAAATTATGTGATTACTATCAAAATATGCTATTAATAAGATAATTTTGAAAATACTGTATTAGAACATTTAAGAGAAATAATAGATATTGAAAAAATTTTGAAACAGTAAATATATATCTATCATAAATATTGAAATATTTTTGATAGTTTATAGTCATTTTTCTGTAAAACTTTCAATGGTGTTTAATTCCATTTATCATAATAACAATGTTAATTTACAACTTTCTTTTATATTTATAAATTTTGGCAATGCATAATATTTTCATAATTAACAAAAATTATTTTGTCTGCATAGTCTCTAAGTGATGCAGAAAAGCATAGAGAAAAAATATGCAAACACATCATCAAGTTTTCAAATTTATAAATCATTTATGTTTTTAATGTTTATTTACTATACCACATTGTATTTGAGTAAAAACATTATCATTATCAATTATGTTATGATCATGTTTGATTATATGAACTCTAATACAGTAAAATTCCATTAACCTAGCTAACCAATAAGTCAGCATGCCATGCTCGTAGTTGGGGGTTATTGGTGCATATTTACTGCCATCATCACAACAACTTCTGACAAACATTGTGGAAACAGAAGATGAAGATGACAGAATGATGTGCTAAGTAAATCCATTTAGCTAGTGTATGATATTTCTAAGGACTTTTCCAAAGACATTAGTCTATGGGTTTGGTATGAGAAACAGAAATATTTAACACATTTGGAATCAATAATTATCATGGAAACAGCTGCAGTATATTACTATTCATGTGCTTTGATAATTAGAGTACATCTGTATTTATACACAATAAAATTGTACACATTATACATATAAAGCACAAAGTAAAAATAATGTGTTCTTGTTTCATGCCAACCAAGGGTAGGAATTCCTATAAAAACTGAAATGGCATATTAAAACAATTACAAAAGGTAGATTTGTACAGTTTTACATGCAAAGGTATTTAAAATTGTTCCAAGGATCAAAAGAAATGAAAAACTTCCATTGTCCAATAAGGCAATAATATTCAATAATCTGGCACCACGTCAGTCCAAATGATGCTGGGTTAATGAACTTTCACTGTATATATATATATATTAATAATAAAAAATCAAAAATGTTTTGTTGTTTATGTACGTATGTATTTATTATATACAGGATAATGCAAGACAATTGTATGAAACTTGCAAAATTGTACAAAATACAACAAAAATGTTTAATTAACAGGCATACTAATACCATGCATTTTTAAGATATTAGCTTGCAAAGATAACCAGAAGTTAATACCACCAACAAAATGTACTAATATACTTACCCATAAGTACAATGTAATATATCCAACCACATGACTAAGGCTGATAAACATGGTTACATATGCAAATCAACTGCTCTACCTGTGACAGTGTGCTACAGCATGTTACCACAATCTATTGAATCAGATCTATGCATTTCATAGCAGATATGCATTTCTGCTATGAAAAGGTCAACAGAAGTTCTGAAGAGGCACATAAACTGTACATGAAGACTTTTCTATGCCATCAAGTCATGACAGCAACGTTCACTTCACTGCATCAGCAATTACACAAGAGAGGAGTCCTTCAAGGCATCCAACATAATGTTCTTCTAAAACATTTGGTGGATACCCTACACTCGAGATATATTGCAGTGTATGGGTATAATATGTATAATAGAAAATGACCTCTCCCAATAACTCGTATTGCTGTAAGACTTGACATTTCACAGGCATACATTTGGCATATTATGCATGATGACAACCTCTACTCATATTATCTACAAGCACATGTGACAAAGTATGGAGGACACTTCAAATACTTGTATGAAAGAAGAAGTTATGTTAATGTGTAAGGAATAAAGCTATATTTCATGCATACACTTGTACCTTTTTGTCTCTTTGTTAAGAGATATTGGTATGGGTCTGATGAATCTTTAAACTAATATCTCAAAAACATTTGGTATTACAACCCTGTTCACTATACATAGTTATTGCATTTTGTGCCAGTTAGTCTTCATTCAATCCTAGCTTCCAGAACTTAACCTTTTACTATGACATGGTCGGTTATACTTTACTCTTCAAAACACCAATCCAAACTGCAGCCACTCAAAGTCACTCTACATATTTTATTTTAAAAATTCACCAAAAATCAAATTATCATCATAAAGATACAAAAAAAATTGCATATATTTATTACTTTATGTAGTTTTTGGTACAATAGTGTATAATTGTTCAGAGTAAAAATTACTTACATAAAAAATGTTAAATTATAACCTAAATTTTTGATGTTATAAATTACTTTACTTTGACAGAAAATAAAATTGTTCAATTTTGTTATTTGTTTTTTTGGCACCAAGCCAGCATGAAAAAGAATATTGTTTTGTACTGTACATGATGATATAAGATTTATGTATATTTATCTATTTTTTCATGAACAATATCACTTTATATGAAACAGTCCATATACACTAGTTTTCTGTCTCTGTTCAATAAACTCTTTTAGGTTAGTAGGACATTTCATTTTAGGCAGTAAACAGAAAATACTGAAACTGTAGAACAATAAAACACACTACATAAAGAAAATCAATTAGTGAAAGTGTTTTATTTGTTTGAGATAATAAGTAAATAAAATGAAACTAGAACAAAAATATGAAAAATAATAAATAACTATATATAACTTATAGCTATGCAATAAGCAGTAAATACTGAAATTGTAAAACAATAAAATGACTACAGAGAAAAAAGCAACTAATGCACATCTTTCCTTTGTTTGAAAAATAAATAAATAAAATTTAGACAAAATAATTAGAAAAATAAATTAATAAAATACAGTAAGACTCTCTTGATGCGGGGGATGTGCTCCTAGACAACAAAGCACTAAACAAAACAGGTTAAATGAGGTCATTTTAACAGAGTAAATAGGGAAAGGGAAACAAGTGACCAAAAATAAACAGATTTCACTTATATTTTAAGTTATTTTTATATTAATTTGCATAATAATATATGTTAAATAACACACAAACATATACACACAGAAATATAAAGTTCATTTTTTGTGGTAAAGATCCTGGCTTTTCTGAAATTCTTGTTTTTTGCAATAAAGTTGTGTACTTTCATTTGTCACTTTTTCTTTTATTAAGCAAATGTCAGTAGCAAAAGATTGCATCTAAAATGCTCCATTTTGCTTTTGGACTACTTTCAAAACCTGGATCATTTGCTACAATTTGATCAATGATTTTGATTATCGTTACCAAACTTTTACTAAGGAAATCTGTAGCAAGTTCTCTAGGTTCTTTGTTTTCAGAATCTATTTTTTCTAGTTCTTGAAGATCGTATTTGGTAAGACTCTCACCAGGAACCTGCAGTAACTCTTCAATATCCTGCTTGTCTACATCTAGTCCTGCTGTATTGATTAGGTTGACAATTTAATCAACCTAATGATATAGTGATAGGCTCTTCTCATTGAGAATTCTTGGATACCTTCAGCCATAACTTCTTTCTCACTTTGTTCATGCATTTATCAGTTAATTCTTGCCAAGTAAAGTCAATGGCATCCATGATGTTATATTTTTTCCAAAATCACACAAAACAAACATAGATATAAGGGAAGTACAGCACTATGACAAATTGCCACCTTTTGCTAATTGGTTTGTGTTCATAAATAATCATATTATAAATAAATCAATAAAATGCTGCAGATAATTTGAATTGGTAAATTTTGAGCTTTTTTAAGGCTTTGAGCAGACCACATTATATCGAATCAGCATTAATTGAGGCAGCATTAAGCCTGGTCTTACTATACATATATTTTATATATATATATAGTCATGTCATCATAGAAAGGTTAATAATTTAGATATAACCATACTCAGTCACTTATGGCACTGGCTGGAAATAATGACTCGGTACCTATGATCTATAATTTCCCACTATGGCACTCAGCCAGCCATCACATCTACCTCAGGTATGATATTCTGGAAGTGAGGATTGAAGAAAAGTCTGGTCAATTTTGTCACCCATGCAGCCGCCATTCTCCCCTAGTTATGTCATTGCTCCTCATGGCTATAACAAGTAACAGTTATAATGAGGAAATCTTTCTGGTCTCCTAATGCTTGTTATAACCAAGTTTGACTTGTAACTTAAAACTGGATCAGTTCTTAACTTAAGACTCAACAATCTATATTTTTTTATAATTTGTCTGTAATTTTCATAATCCAAAATATTTTGACCATTAAACCAAAATATATCTTTAGGTTTGTCTTCCTTCATGGATTTTACTGAAAACTATAAAATAATGAACTAGAAAATATTGTTAAATTTCTTGTATTTTGTATTATTTTCACTAATATCCTTTTGAATGTATGTTAACAGAATTGTATATTTGTTATGTTACATACAATTGATATTATACTTAAAAAGATCTGTCATAATCTGTGAAGGGTAATTACTTTTTAAGCTTTTATAAACTTAGGACTGTATTGATTAATCTACTGTAAAAAATAATTCAAACAAGATAAAACAAAGCATATATAAATCTTTACAGAATAAGTTACTTCTATTTATATATGGTATAAATATATTAATATTAGTAGTAATTTCTGTTTTCTGTATTGTTATCATGTAATACAAAAAGTTATTAGAATATTAACAATATTAGCTAAACTCTGAAGATGATCATTTTTAAGATTAAACTTTATTCATCCTTGTAATAGGACTAATATTTGAAAAAAGCTAATCTATTAGAGCATCTTTCTTTCTTATTTATATTAATAATATCCATATTTAAAAATGTAACACTATATAAAAATTAACTTTTATAGCTTACCTATAGTAATATCACCATGCAATTCACAGTCTTTACAAACAACAACCCCATGAGCAATCTTCAATCTGAAAATAATGAGTTAGCTTAATCATTTTAAGTTTAAATTCAAAATTATTAAACAACATGACTTTAAAATTATTTCGTATTTTAAAAACAGCATTGAAATAATCAGTATTTTGAATTTAATTGCAGCAAAAGTAATTAGCATTATTATATAGAGTGCCCCAAAAAAAGGTAACCAAAGTTTATTGTTTATGTATATATTATGTCATGTGTATGAAACAGCAATGTGTGTAGTAGAAATCTAATCTTTCTGTGAGAAATTGTTAAGGAACAATGTTTTAGACACCCCACACTGGGAACATGTGTTGCATTGAAGGACAACATTCAATGTGTGAAAAGAGGAATTTCACCTGATATATGTAATACCTTGGTGGAAGATATCATTCAGTAAATGGAACTGTGCTTAAAATATGGCAGCACACATATAGAGCATATAGTTTTAATATAATGAAATAAATGCATGTAGACATTATTTGAAAGACTTATTTTGTAAAATACATCTGTGATACTGATTTGTTTTGCTTTATTTAAACATGGTCAGGCAGCTAGTCTTCATCCAATGCTTATCAACATGGCACCAAAGTACTCTCTATATACTTTTTGTCCTTCACTATTTACCTAGTGAAAGGAACAGATTGTAGACAAGGTCACTGTGCATTACTAACAAGCAATGTTACCAATCTAGCATTTTTTCAAGGCATTTAGTAGGAAATTTTTGAAACCAGAATTTAGCAGGAAAAATGGCAATTTTAAAAATTTATTTACCATTTTTTAGTATTAAAATTTCTTATCCATGATACTAAATTTTTTCTCTGTTCACATAGATTTTATACAAATTTCAGTGATATTTAGCTCCTCATTAAATCTATTTAGCAGGGATGCACAACCTTTTCTGAAGAAGGGCCAAATTAGGATTAAGTTTACTGACTGGGGGCCGGACCTCCAAGTGATTAATGTGATGGCTGAGATTGGATGCTGGCTGCAATCTTCTTGATGTCTAGCATAATGGCAGATGTTGAAACAACAGCAGATTTTCCAAATTCTCGTTGGTTAACCTGTTCCATGTTTTGCACTTGTTTAAATTCATAAGCGAAAACGCTTGTTCGCATACATACCATGTTTTCCCGAAAATAAGACCTAGCAGAGGTTTTGCTGAATTGCTAAATATAAGGCCTCCCCCCGAAAGTAAGACCTAGTAAAGTTTTTTTTTT